GAATTGCTTGAACCCAGGAGGCGAAGGTTGCAGTGAGCCGAGATTGTGCCACTGCACTCCAGCCTGAGAAACAGAGTAAGACTCCATCTCAAAAAAACAAACAAACAAAACAAAAACAAAAACAACAAAACCTAATGATGTTAAATTTAAAATGTTGGTATTTCCTTTCCATTCACTACCTGAGTCTAGTAGAGGAGATAGAAGGTGCTTAATCCCTGCTTTCAGTCTCCCCATAAACTAGGTGATGATTTATAAACTATAAACACAAAATCTAGCACTCAGGAATCCTTACCAAAGGTTACCTACTGGTCTTGTAAGAGGTTTTCATGAAGCTGGTACTTGTAGGATTAAATGTAAGGAATTCTCTATAATGTCTAAGGTCTCTTCATTTTCCTCCACTTTTGTTACGGTTTTGAGGGGGTACGGTCAAACAGAATTTGAGAACTTGAACCCCTCAGATAAGAAACAGCCACCAGAGGGAAACAGAGAAGTGAGCTTCCATTGACTCTGGATATTGTCAAACCTGATGCAGGGGGATGGGAGGAGGTTAATGCTGACTGTGACATTGCAGGACAGGGCTTGTGAACCCCAGAGTTTCTCTCATCACTACAGTTTCATTAATTTTGTAAATAATGATTATGACTCTTTTTTTTTTTTTTTTTTTGAGACGGAGTTTCACTCTTGTTGCCCAGGCTGGAGTGCAATGGCGTGATCTCAGCTCACCGCAATGACCGCCTCCCAGGTTCAAGCGATTCTCTTGCCTCAGCCTCCCGAGTAGCTGCGATTACAGGCGTGTACCACCATGCCCAGCTAATATTTTGTATTTTAATAAAGACGGGGTTTCACCATGTTGGCCAGGATGGTCTTGATCTCCCGACCTCAGGTGATCCACCCACCTCAGCTTCCCAAAGTGCTGGGATTACAGGTGTGAGCCACTGTGCCCAGCTCAATTATGGCTCTTTAAGAAAAAAAACTACCCACACTGAAACCTCAAATACTGATCACAAGATCCACCTATGTTAACCAGCTGTTCCAGCAGTAAAAGTCTGAAACAATCCCTCACTTTAATCAGGCAGACATTCCACATGTACACTTGAAACCACACCAGGCTATTTCTTCATATTATAAGTCACAAGAGAAAACCAGCTAGACCAATGAAGCAGCTTCTTCTAAGATTGGATGTTTGTGTTGGGGGTGCGGGACTGGGGGAGATATGTTCTAGAAGCCACTGCTAGTTCTATTTAGAGTTAATCAAGCTTACCAGGACCCTGGGTCTCATGCAGCATGCAGCAAACAGCAGAGTTAACTGTAAAACAGTAAGAGCTGATGAAGATGGAGTGAGCATGAGGAGAAATCAAATATTATGAGTTGACACAAACAATGAAGGGTTAGAGGTCAAAGGTGATCAGGAGTAGCAAGAAGGGGAAGTGGGAAGGGTGGACTGGTAGGAACCCCTGAAACACTGATACTCTTTTTTTGTTTTCTGAGTCAGGGTCTCTCTCTTTTGCCCAAACTGGAGTGCAGTGGCGCAATCACGGCTCACTGCAGCCTCAACCTCCTGGGATCAAGCGATTCTCCCACCTCAGCCTCCCGAGTAGCTGAGACTATACACAAGTGCCATCATTCCCAGCTAATGCTTAATTTTTTTTTTGTTGTTGTAGAGACAAGGGTCTCACTATGTTGCCCAAGCTGATCTCAAACTCCTAGACTCAAGCATTCCTTTCATCTTGGCCTCCCAAAGTATTGGGGTTACAAGCGTGAGCCACTGCGGCCAGCCAGTACTTTCTTAATCTCTAATTTAGGGGAAGCTAAAGGAAATTCTGAATATGTGACTCTTAGATCCAACCACCATCTCTCAAGAAGAAATACTGCTACCACCATTTCTACCCTCAAAACCCACCATCACGACTATGGGAGGAAGGTGGCACAGGTCTAATGGTGGCTCTTCCAGGAGTTAACCAACTGCTCATGAAATTACATAAGAAGACGAAACCCAGGGCCACTTGGACATCTGGAAGTATGGAAGAGGACAGGTCATTCTGTTAGGCCCTTATTGTTAATATGAAGTGCCACATGCCAGCAGGGTTTTCACCCATTTCAGAATTGGAAAGGGGTGCTGTCACCAATGCCAGATATTCCTGGAGAGTAGAGAGGGGTATCTCCCCCTTGGGATCTCCTGCCTGGGGTGGGAGAAGTCAGTCAGTTTGAGGCAACAAGGGGAAAGCTTGATCTAAAAATAACTTTTACTGAACATCTGAATAGGGAATATTTATAGTTTCAATGCAGCCTGAACAAACCAATTCCTAACAACCAGGCGATGAAACTACCCCAGGTATTGAGTTAACAAATACCACAGGACTGTGGAGGCAGCAGGTTACAGCTGGATGATGAAATTAGATTTTTCTGATCTTAAAAATAGCAATCCATTCCTGCTGGTGCAACTAATACACCATGACAGATAAGTGAATACAGTACAGGGTGTGTCTAAAGAGACTTTTTTTTCTGGCTAACTGAACTTTATCCATCAGGTAATACCAAAAAAGTTCATTCTTCAATGAATTTGACATGTAGTATTAAGATTCAGTAACAAAAATCTCTGGACTAATTGGTGAAGATATTTTTCTTTGAGACAAAGTCTCTGTCACCTAGGCTACAGTGCAGTGGCATGATCTTGGCTTTCTGCAAACTCCGCCTCCCAGGCTCAAGTGATTCTCCTGCCTTAGCCTCCCAAGTAGCTGGGACTACAGGTGTGCACCAACATGCCCAGCTAATTTTTGTATTTTTAGTAGGGACAGGGTTTCACCATGTTGCCCAGGCTGGTCTCGAACTCCTGACCTCAAGTGATGCACCTGCCTCAGCCTCCCAAAGTGCTGGGATTACAGGCGTGAGCCACCATACCTGGCCAAGATGTTCAAATTACACATTTGAATAAAGAGTAATTGGATTGCAAAGCTGAGTGCCTTCAAATATAACATAGTTTACTGTTATGCAAAAGTTACCATGTTATTTCTAAGTGATAAGACAGAGGAAAGGAAGGTGTTTCTTCCTTCTGGCAAAATATCCAATAGTGAAGTCCAGGAACAAGTGGCTGAAAACAGAAGGCAATGACCATGGACATCTTTTGCATCCTCAGTACCCTTTAGTAAAGACACTGCTGAACAGTCCACCTGGGAGCTCCTCTAGTCACACTGCAGAAACAACTGCAGGGTACAAGGGCACCCAGAGGGTTTTCTAGATCCTGTTGGAAATACTTTTCTCTGGTTCTGGGATGAGGAATGGGTAACTTCAGCAAGCAGAGATGGGTTGGGTGAGGATTATTGACCCACATGGTATCCAGGAGCCCATGTTCTAGTACCAGAGGAGATGGGAAGTCTTAAAATCATTCCCCAGACTGAGGATGGGGCACATGCAGGTACACTGGCATCTGAGGGCTCCCTCGTAAGTTCTCAGCACCCCAGGCTGGGCAGAACTAAGCAGCCAGCAGTGAGGGATCACAAAGGGATGGGAAATCAGGGCTGGGCTGCAGCCTTCAGTGGCAGCAGTTAAATTCGGTTGGCTGCAGCAAGTAAGAACTGAGGCAGGGTGGAGAGGTGAGCAACCTCAGATATAGGGCAGGGGTGGGGAGAGGGTGCACAGAGTTTCTGCTAAAGGCTTTCTCTTTCTTCCACTACTCTGTATCTGCACTTCTTTTTTCTTTTCTGAGACAGAGTCCCACTCTGTCACCCAGGCTGGAGTGCAATGGCGTGATGTCGGCTCACTGCAACCTCTGCCTCCTGGGTTCAAGCAATTCTCCTGCCTCAGCCTCCCAAGTAGCTGGGATTACAGGCATGTGCCACCACACCTTGCTAATTTTTTGTATTGTTAGTAGAGACGGGGTTTCATCATGTTGGCCAGGCTGGTCTTGAACCCCTGAACTCAAGTGATCCACTTGCCTTGGCCTCCCAAAGTGCTGGGATTACAGGTGTGAGCCACCACGCCTGGCCCATATCTGTACTTCTTTCTGTTTCTCTTTCTTTTCTTTTTTTTTTTTTGAGATGGAGTCTCGCTCCATTGCCCTGGCTGGAATGCAGTGGTGTCATCTCAGATCACTGTAACCTCCACCTCCCGGGGTCAAGTGATTCTCCTGCCTCAGCCTCCTGAGTAGCTGGGACTACAGGCGTGCATCACCACACTGGGCTACTTTCTGGTTTTTTTTTTCATTAGAGACAAGGTTTCACCGTGTAGGTCAGGCTGGTCTCACACTCCTGATCTCCAGTGATCTGCTTGCCTCGGCCTCCCAAAGTTCTGGGATTATAGGCGTGAGCCACTGCACCCAGCCTTGTTTCTCTCTTTCTTTTTTTTTTTTTTGACGGAGTTTCGCTCTTGTTACCCAGACTGGAGTGCAATGGCGCGATCTCGGCTCACCGCAACCTCCGCCTCCTGGGTTCAGGCAATTCTCCTGCCTCAGCCTCCTGAGTAGCTGGGATTACAGGCACGCGCCACCACGCCCAGCTAATTTTTTGTATTTTTAGTAGAGACGGGGTTTCACCATGTTGACCAGGATGGTCTCGATCTCTTGACCTCGTGATCCACCCGCCTCGGCCTCCCAAAGTGCTGGGATTACAGGCTTGAGCCACCGCGCCCGGCGTTCCTCTCTTTCTTATATTGCTGCCCTTCTCATTTTTTTTCCTCCCTTCTGCTCCTTCACTCTCCATTTGCTTTTCCTCTCCTTTTCCTTCCGCTCCTATGGGCCTTGAGTTTTCAGGGCTTTCCTAAGCAAGCTGGATGGATGGGCTGGGCCTCCGGGACCACATCCCTCCCCTACTCTCAGCTCCCCAAACTCAGGGAATCCAAAGATCCCACAGGGATGCTGAGACCAGTTATAGGTGCCCCAACCAATCTGACAGCCCGCAGCTCACCTCTGGGCACCAGTCCTCAGCCCCTTCAGGTGCCACGTCCTGCCCCGGGAGGATGAGCAGGAGGAGAGAGAAGGAACCACCCCAGAGCAGCCTGCTACTTACTTTTTCTTCTCTTTGTCTCTCTTCAGAGTCTGTGAGCCTCCAGCCTGGGAACCCTGGGACTGGAGCAGCTCGGCTGCCGTCTTTCTCTGTTTGAAAGCATTCACTTCATCATCCAAGGATTTCTTCTTATCCTCCAGCTTCTTCTTCTCATCCTGGTGCAGTTTCTTCAGACGGTCAAACTTCTCGTGCAGCTGGCAGGGAAGCACAGGGAGATTGGAGACGGTCCCCTGTGAGCAGCCCCCAGTCTGGCCAAGCCCAGAGTGGGACCAGTAAGGCTGTGACCAGTAAGGCTGGGGACCAGTAAGGCTGTGACCCTGCAGGACCCTGAAACCTCAGGAGGCATTTCTGTCGGGAATTGCCATGATGGCACCAAAGGCACCATACTCTGGATCGTTCTCTCCTCCTGCCATTTTATCTCCAAGTATCTGCTCCTGAATATGGTAAAGGAACACTGTATTGTCTTTAGTCAGACATTTTGTTAAAAAGAGTCCTCATAGGCCGGGCACGGTGGCTCACACCTGTAATCCCAGCACTTTGGGAGGCCAAGATGGGTGGATTGCGAGGTCAGGAGTTGGAGACCAACCTGGCCAATATGGTGAAACCCATCTCTACTAAAAATACAAAAATTGGTCGGGCCTGGTGGCACATGTCTGTAGTCCCAGCTACTTGGGAGGCTGAGGCAGGAGAATTGCTTGAACCCAGGAGGCAGAGGTTGCAGTGAGCCAAGATTGCACCACTGCACTCCAGCCTGGGCAACAGAGGGAGACTCCATCTCAAAAAAAAAAAAAAAAAAGAGTCCCCATAGCTACCCCACATGGTTAATAATAACATCAATTATCATAACAGAACATTTACTGAGTGCTGGTCTGGCACAGTGGCTCAGGCCTGTAATCCCAGCACTTTGGGAGGCTGAGGCAGGCGGATCACTTGAGGTCAGGAGTTCGAGATCAGCATGGCCAACATGGTAAAACACTGTCTCTACTAAAAATACAAAAATTAGCCAGGCATTGTGGCACATGCCTGTAGTCCCAGCTACTCAGGGGGCTGAGGCAGGAGAATTGCCTGAACCTGGGTGGTGGAGGTTGCAGGGAGCTGAGATCGCACCATTGCACTCCAGCCTGGGCAACAGAGCAAGACTCCATCTCCAAAAAAAAAAAAAAAAAAAAAACTGAGTAATTATTACAGGCTAAGCACTGACTTTTATAAGCTCTTTATGTATATTTATTCATTTAATTGTTACCACAACCCTATGAGGTAGGTTCTGTTATGATCTCCATTTTATGAGGAAACAGAAGGTCTGAGAAGTAAGGAATTTGACTAAGGTCAACCCAGTATTTAGAGCATTAGGTAACAGGACCTCTTATATGTAAGGTACCCCTGTCTTTTCTTAACCCCTGCAATCAGGGAGGATCACCATGGATCGCAGAGAAAACTTCAGTAATGGCAAAGCCAGTTGATGGAAATACTTGGCTTTGGACGTGGAAGGAAATAAAAGGACTTTATGACATGGAATGAGTCCAGACACCTCAGCTTAACTAAAGGGAGGCTTAACTAGTCCTGAATAGAACCAGAAACCCAAGAATACTGTGGGCCAGGCGCAGTGGCTCACACCTGTAATCCCAGCACTAGGCTCAATCCCAGCACTTTGGGAGGCTGAGGTGGGTGGATTACAAGGTCAGGTGTTCCAGACCAGTCTGCCCAACATGGTGAAACCTCGTCTCTACTAAAAATACAAAAATGAGCTAGGCATAGGGGCGTGTACCTGTAATCCCAGCTACTCGGGAGGCTCAGGCAGGAGAATTGCTTGAATTGGGAGGCAGAGCTTACAGTGAGCCGAGATCGCACCACTGCACTCCAGCCTGGGCAACAAAGCGAGACTCTGTCTCGGGGGAAAAAAAAAACCACAAAAGAATATTCTGGCATGCCATTTTGATAAGTGGAGGCACAGGAGACTAGAATGCAATAAACTACGCTGAACAGTAAGAGCAGAGTGAGCAAAATTTCACTTTCTTTCATGGATTCAGGAGAGAGTTTAGGATTTTTTTTTTTCTTTTTTTTCTTTTTTAGAGAGTTTAGGATTCTGTAGCACTGCAGCATACCATGAAGGAGTTAGTTTTCCGGGTCTTGTGGGTATTTGACACTGTCACTTAGGTAGGTGAGTGACAGACCTGCTGTATAAGCCAGCTTTTACTAGTCATTTGGGCTGCCTATCAGTTGCCTTAACCTGGCTTTTGTTCATTGTACTTTTATACATTTGTCTTTGAGATCCCTTCACTTCACCTCCTAAAAGTGCTGATATTTTTTTTTCTTTTTTTTTTTTTTAATTGAGACAGAGTCTCACTCTGAAACCCAGGCTGGAATGCAGTAGCCTCAATCTCTCAGCTCAAGCAATCCTCCCACCTCAGCCTCCTGGATAGCTGGGACTACAGGCACGTGCCACCATACCTGGCTAATTTTTTGTATTTTTAATATGGAGTCTCACTATGTTGCCCAGGCTGGTCTTGAACTACTGGGCTCAAGCAATCCTCCCGCCTTGTCTTTGCAAAGTGCTGGGATTATGGGCCTGAGCCAAGGCACCTGTCTCACTTTTTTTCAGTGAAACTGAAAAAATCGATACCCTTGTCATGGGCTTTGGTGACAACCCTTGAGAGTACAACAGGTTAAATGTGGAAGAGACTCGTGAAGTAATTAAGTGCTTCCTTTCTTTTTCTTTCTTTCTTTTCCTTTTTTTTTTTTTTGAGACAGTCTCACTCTTGTTGCCCAGGCTGGAGTGCAGTGGTGCAATCTCAGCTCACTGCAACCTCCGCCTCCTGGGTTCAAGTAATTCTTCTGCCTCAGCCTCCCAAGTAGCTGTGATCACAGGTGCCCTCCACCATGCCTGGCTACTTTTTATATTTTTTAGTAGAGACAGTGTTTCACCATGTTGTCCAGGCTGGTCTCAAACTCCTGACCTCAGGTGATCCACCTGCCTCGGCCTCCCAAAGTCCTGGGATTACAGGCGTGAGCCACCGTGCCCAACCAAGTACTTCCTTTCTTTATAGTTGAGGGTTTTGAGGTGCAGAGAGGTGAAGCAATGGCTGACATGACCCAGACTGTACCTTAGGCCAATTAATCTGGCAGCAGGAGCTGGGCTGCTAGAGGAGACCTTAGAGGCAAGGCCATGGGATAGAAGACTAACTACATGCGCTTAGGCATAGCTTCAGTAATGAAAATCCCTTACTTAAAAAACCCAGCAGAGGCCGGGTGTAGTGGCTCATGCCTGTAATCCAAGCACTTTGGAGGCCAAGGCGGGTGGGATCACCTGAGGTCGGGAGTTCAAGACCAGCCTGACCAACATGGTGAAAACCTGTCTTAAAAAAAAAAGAGAGAGAGAGACAGAGTTTCACTCTTGTTGCCCAGGTTGAAGTGCAGTGGCACAATCTTGGCTCACTGCAACCTCCACCTCCTGGGTTCAAGTGATTCTCCTGCCTCAGCCTCCTGCGTAGCTGGGATTATAGGCATGCATCACCATGCCCAGCTAATTTTTTGTAATTTTAGTAGACATGGGGTTTCACCACATTGGCCAGGATGGTCTTGATTTCCTGACCTCAAGATCCACCTGCCTCGGCCTCCCAAAGTGCTAGAATTACAGGTGTGAGCCACCATGCCCGGCCAATGTTTCTTTATTTCTAAAATGAAATGGAACAGAATATCCAAAGGAATGGGAACAATAATAGCTGTCTTAGGTTTCAGCAAAGTACGTAGGACTACCCGAGACCATCTTGCCCCACAGCCATCAGAGAAGTTAGGATGGGGCAGAATAGCCAAGAAAGTGATCAGTTGTCCATGCTGAGCTCCAAACTCCCAGGAAGAAGAAAAAGAATGGCCAGGTGCAGTGGCTTATGCCTGTCATCCCAGCACTTTGGGAGGCCGAGGCAGGTGGTTCACCTGAGGTCAGAAGGTCGAGACCGGCCTGGCCAACTTGGTGAAACACCGTCTCTACTAAAAGTACAAAAATTAGCCAGGCGTGGTGGCGCATGCCTGTAATCCCAGCTACTTGGGAGGCTGAGGCAGGAGATTTGCTTGAACCTGGGAGATGGAGGCTGCAGTGAGCTGAGATCGCACCATTGCACTCCAGCCTGGGCAACAAGAGCGAAACTGCCTCAAAAAAAAAAAAAAAAGAAGAAGAAGAAGAAGAAGAACTAGCTCACACCCAATCCCAAAGGCCTAACTCTGTAGCAGCACTGCTCAATAGGGCTTTCTTTCTTTTTTTTTTTTTTTTTTTTTGGAGGCGGAGTCTTGCTCCGTTGCCCAGGCTAGAGTGCAGTGGTGCGATTTTAGCTCACTGCAGCCTCTGCTTCCTGATTCAAGTGATTCTCTCACCTCAGCCTCCTGAATAGCTGGGATTACAGGTACGCGCTACCATACCCAGCTAATTTTTTTGTATTTTTAGTAGAGATGGAGTTTTACCATGTTGGCCAGGCTGCTCTCGAGCTCCTGGCCTCAAGTGATCTGCCTGCCTTGGACTCCCAAAGTGCTGGGATTACAGGCATGAGCCACCACACCTGGCCCCAGTAGAGCTTTCTGTGACAACAGAAATGTTCTGTATCTCTGCTGTTTAGTATTAGTCACTAGGTGCCTGAGGGGTGAGCTTTTGAAACATGGCTAACATGATTGACGAACTGAGTTTTAAATTTTATTTATTTATTTATTTTTTTTTTTTGAGACGGAGTTTCGCTCTTGTTACCCAGGCTGGAGTGCAATGGCGCGATCTTGGCTCACCGCAACCTCCGCCTCCTGGGTTCAGGCAATTCTCCTGCCTCAGCCTCCTGAGTAGCTGGGATTACAGGCACGCACCACCATGCCCAGCTATTTTTTTTGTATTTTTAGTAGAGACGGGGTTTCACCATGTTGACCAGGATGGTCTCGATCTCTTGACCTTGTGATCCACCCGCCTCGGCCTCCCAAAGTGCTGGGATTACAGGCTTGAGCCACCGCGCCCGGCTAAATTTTATTATATATTTTGAAATTGCTAAAAGAGTAGATTTCACTGATTGATTGATTGATTGATTGATTGAGACAGGGTCTTGTTATGTCACCCAGGCCCGAGTGCAGTGGTATGATCATAGCTTATGATCATACATGCAGACTCGAGCTCCTGGCTCAAGTGATTCTCCTACCTCAGGCTCCCTAGTAGCTGGGATACAGGCATGTGCCACCCTTCCCAGCTGATTTTTTTTTTTTTTTTTTTTTTTTTTTTTGCAGAGATGGGGGTCTCACTTTTTTTTTTTTTTTTTTCCCCAGGCTGGCCTCAAATTCCTGGCCTCAAGTGATTCTCCTGCCTTGGCCTCTCAAAGTGCTAGGATTACAGGTGTGAACCACTATGCCCAGCCAAAAAGAGTAGATTTAAAATGTTTTTACCACAAGAAAAGGTAAGTTTGTGAGATGATGATCCATTTGCTAATTTGCTTGATGTAAGCGTTCCACAATGTAAACATATATCAAAACATCACGTTGGCTTTGGACGTGGAAGGAAATAAAAGGACTTTATGACATGGAATGAGTCCAGACACCTCAGCCTAACTAAAGGGAGGCTTAACTAGTCCTGAATAGAACCAGAAACCCAAGAATACTGTGGGCCAGGTGCAGTGGCTCACACCTGTAAACCCAGCACTTGGCTCAATCCCAGCACTTTGGGAGGCCAAATAATTGTATAATATATACAATTATTGTCAATTAAAAATAAAATATAAAAAAATTTATCAGCTGCGCATGGTGGCGCGTGCCTGTAATCCCAGCTACTCAGGAGGCTGAGGCAGGAGAATTGCCTGAACCCAGGAGGCGGAGGTTGCGGTGAGCCGAGATCGCGCCATTGCACTCCAGCCTGGGTAACAAGAGCGAAACTCCGTCTCAAAAAAAAAAAAAAAAACATAAAAGTTTAAAAAAAATTTTTTTTTAAATTAAATAGTCACATATGACTAACGGCTACCATATGGGACAGCGATGCTCTAGAGAATTAAGTAACACGATGGGAAAACAACCCAGCCTTAGAAATGAGGTGGTCAAGGAGACACAGTTCTCACAGCTTCCTCTGTGCCAGCCAAGGCAAGGCTACAGAGGCTGAGCCCCATTCCTACCCAGAGGCTACAAGGCTGTTCTCCCAAGGCAGAAGCCCATCATGGGTTTCCATGCCATGTTCAGCCTCCTTTCTCTTCCTGCCTGGCACCTAGGCTCACATTTTCTTTTTAACTTTAAGTTCCAGGGCACATGTGCCAGATATGCAGGTTTGTTACATAGGTAAACGTGTGCCACGGTGGTTTGCTGTACCTATCAACTCATCACCTAGGTAGTACGCCTCCAATGCATTAGTTATTTATCCCAACGTTCTCCCTCCCCCTGTCCCCATGACAGGCCCCAGTATGTGTTATTCCCCTCCCTGTGTCCATGTGTTCTCATAATTTAGCTCTCACTTATCAGTGAGAACCTGCAGTGTTTGGTTTTCTTTTTGAGATGGAGTCTCACTCTGTCACCCAGGTCGGAGTGCAGTGGCACAATCTTGGCTCACTGCAACCTCTGCCTCCCAGACTCAAGCGATTCTCCTGCCTCAGCCTCCTAAGTAGCTGGGACTACAGGCATGCACCACCACACTTGGCTAATTGTAGTACTTTTAGTAGAGACAGGGTTTCACCATGTTGGCCAGGCTGGTCTCGAACTCCTGACCACAGTTGATCCGCCTGCCTCAGCCTCCCAAAGTGTTGGGATTACAGGTGTGAGCCACAGCCCCTGGCCTGACGTTTGGGTTTCTGTTCCTGTGTTAGTTTGCTAAGGATAATGGCTCCCATCTCCATCCATGTCCCTGCAAAGGACATCCCCTCATTCCTTTTCATGGCTGCATAGTATTCCATGGTATATATGTACCACATTTTCTTTATCCAGTCTATCATTGATGAGCATCTGGGTTGATTCCATGTCTTTGCTATTGTGAATAGTGTTGCAGTGAACATAGGTGTGCATGTATCTTTATAATAGAATGATCTATAGGATTGCTGGGTCAAATGGTATTTCTGGTTTCAGGTCTTGGAGGAATCACCACACTGTCTTCCACAATGGTTGAACTAATTTACATTCACACCGACAGTGTAAAAGTATTCCTATTTCTCTACAGCCTCATAACAACTGTTGTTTCTTGATGTTTTAATAATCACCAGGCTCACATTTACCTCTTTCTCAGCCTCTTTGAGCTCCGCTTCTTTCTCCTTGACTCTCTGGACGAACATCTGTCTCATCTCCTCTTCTTTTTTCTGGAGTTCTCCTAGGAACTCGTTCCTTTTGGCCTCATATGTCTCCTGTAAACTGCGAACACGGTCAGGTTAATTCCTCTTCCTTTGGAATGGCTCCTATTTGATAAAAGTGGCCCCAAAGATCCTCCCTGGGTTCCTCCATTCTCCCTTCCCCAATTGTGAGCCCGGTGCAAAAACAGAACCACAAAGCTGTGGGCACCTGGCTTGGCCCATGCTAGCATGCCCACAGCGCTTCTGGAGGGGGATGGGAAAACCCTAGTGAACTGGAGAGACTCAGAATATCTGGTTTTATACTCTTGTTCTACACATGAGAAAACTGATGCCCAGAGAGGTGAGGTGTCTTGCTCAAGGCTCCACAGCTAGTTAGAGGCAGACCTTTGACCAGAAGCTGGGTCTCCTGTCTCTTTATCAGGGTCTTCCTACTGCACAATGCTGCCAGGCCCTGGCTCGGAAACTGACCACATTAATGAACTATTTCAACAAATGCTTGAGGAGACTCCATATGTGCTAGACACAGTACTAATTGACATGATGCTAGTCACTCAACCTCTAGAGCCAGCAGCCACCATAACTGCCATCAAGGAACTCATGTTCTAATGGGAGATGCACCTGGCCTGAACTTCTTTTTCTTTCTTTCTTGTTTTTTTTTTTTTTTTTTTTTCTTTTGAGACAGTGTCTCACTCTGTCACCAGACTGCAGTGCAGTGGCACGATCTTGGCTCACTACAACCTCCACCTCCCAGGTTCAAGAGATTCTCCTGCCTCAGCCTCTGGAGTAGCTGGGATGACAGGCATGCACCACCATGCCCAGTTAACTTTTGTATTTTTAATAGAGACAGGATTTTACCATGTTGGCCAGGATGGTCTCCATCCCTTGACCTCATGATCCACCCACCTTTGCCTCCCAAAGTCCTGGGATTACCAGCATGAGCCACTGCACCCAGCCAGCCTGAGCTAATTTTTAAAGAAATAGGAGGCTGGGCGCAGTGGAAGCCGAGCACTCCAGGAAGTCAAGTCAGGTGGGTCACCTGAGGTCAGGAGTTTGAGATTAGCCTGGCCAACATGGTGAAACCCTGTCTCTACTAAAAATACAAAAAAATTAGCTAGGCATGCTGGTGGGCACCTGTAGACCCAGCTACTCGGGGTGCTGAGGCATGACAATTGCTTGAACCTGCGGAGGTTGCAGTGAGCAGAGATTACTCCACTTGCACTGCAGCCTGGGCGGCAGAGTGAGACTCCATCACACACACACACAGAAAGAAAGAAAGAAAGAAAGAAAGAAAGAAAGAAAGAAAGAAAGAAAGAAAGAAAGGAGATAGCCTGGTAAAGAAGAGGTGGAACTGTGCTCCAAATAGGGCGGCATGTAAGAAAGCACATGTGGAGAGAGAATGACATTCTTGGGGAGCCAGGCATGGTTCAACACAGCCAAAGAGCACCATGGTAGTGGTGGAGTAGAGGGAGACGAAGTTCCTGAGCCTGGTGGAAGAGAACAGCTTTGGATGCCATATTTAAAACTGGACATGTATGCACTGCATGGTTTTAAAGTAGGAAGTCATACCAGATCCAATTTGAAAATGAGAAGGACCATTCTGGCTGTGTTGTGGGAAGGACAGATTTTCCATCAATCCAAGTAAGAAGTGACAGGATCTTGGCAGGGGGCGGTGGCTCACGCCTGTAATCCCAGCATTTTGGGAGGCCGAGGCAGGTGGCTCACTTGAGGTCAGGAGTTTGAGACCAGTCTGGCCAACATAGTGAAGCCTTATCTCTACTAAAAATTAAAAAATTAGGCCGGGCACAGTGGCTCACGCCTGTAATAGCAGCACTTTGGGAGACCGAGGCAGGTGGATCACGAGCTCAAGAGATCGAGACCATCCTAGCCAACATGGTGAAACCCCATCTCTACTTAAAAAATACAAAAATTAGCTGGCTGTGGTAGCATGCGCCTGTAGTCCCAGCTACTCAGGAGGCAGAGGCAGGAGAATTGCTTGAACCTGGGAGGTGGAGGTTGCAGTGAGCAGAGATCGCACCATTGCACTCCAGCCTGGCGCCTGGTGACAGAGCAAGACTCTTTCTCAAAAAAAAAAAAAAAAAAAAAAAATTAGCCGGGTGTGGTGGCAGGCGCCTGTAGCCCCAGGTACTTGGGAGACAGAGGCAGGAGACTTGCTTGAACCCAGGAGGTGCAGGTTGCAATGAGCCAAGATCGCGCCATTGCACTCCAGCCTGTGCGACGGAGCAAGACTCTGTCTCAAAAAAAAAAAAAAAAAAAAAAAAAAAAGTGACAGAATCTTAATGTTAAGGGCTGGGAGGGGATGGAGGGAGCAGTAGGGGAAGCAGAACTCCCCGGACTTGGGAGGAGCCCAAGATAATTCTGATTATCCTTGGGCAACCAGGTGGTTGTTGGTATCATGAATGGCAACAGGGAATGTTGGAGAAACATGGTTAAGAGGGAAGAAGATGAATTTGATTGTTCACAGCTTGATTTTCAGGGAGGTCCTCTATGGGATGTCTGAGTGGGAATTTCCAGGATACAATGGCTTAATGGGTTTAGACCTCAGAAGTAAAACTAGCTTGGGAGTCATCTACTTCTAGGCGGTAATCAGGGTTTTGTGAGAGTGAAAGAATGCTGCAGAGAACAGAAAGTGAAAGGAGCAGAGGCCCTAGGAAAGAGCCCCAGGGGGTATATCAACATTTAAAGGAGTAAGGTGAAGAAAATGAGCCTGCAAAGGAGGCTAAGAAGACAGCAGGAGAGAGGAACAGAATCAGCCAGGCAAGTGCTAGAAAAGCCAAAGGCAGAGAGCATTTCAAGGAGCAGTGGGGAATGGCATAATGTGCTGTGTTGAGATCAAGTAAGATGGAACCCAAAGGCCACACTGAACTTGGCTGCAAGTCTGAGATTCCTGGCCTTGGAGAGAGGCATTTTAGTGGTTATGCTGGGGGCAGAAGCCAGATTGTACTGGGTTGAAGAATGAATGAGAGATGGGGAAGAGGAACCAGTAAATATAGAACAACTCTTTCTCCTTCTCATCCTGTCAAGAACCTCTTGACAGGGCAGAGGCTGGTAAGAAAGAGCAGGGTTAAGAGAGTTTCTTTAGCACAAGAATGCTTACATGCAGCATGGGAAGGAGCTGGCAGAGAAGGAGTGAAGAAAGCGAAGACACAGGAAACAGGTATTCAGGATGGAGGGAAGGAGACCAAATGACCAGGTGGGGGCACACCTACTCCTCTACAAATGCAGATGAAAGCTGCGGGTGGGGAAGAGCCAGGCAGCTCCCACCAGAAAGAGACAAGCATGCCTTCCCCCAACCCCAGGTGCGCCAGTGGCCCCTGGCCCCACCTGTCAGTAGAGGGCATCAGCCTGTCCCTCTTGAAGCAAGTATCCCCAAGGGACTGGTTAGGGTCTGCTCCCAGGCCAGCTTTAGGCTATGAACAGGTAGTGTAAGATCTCAGAGGCTTGTTGAAAGTCTTTTTAACCGGTAGACATCTCCCTCACTTGCTTATTAATGCCTGACCACAATAAAGGGCACCACGTGGTAATTTCAACTGTGGGGCTGATTTCACACATCATGCATAGAGATCAGACGCATCTACTTGGCATACCACTCCTCTCTGCATAATAACCTGCTTTCAAAAACATTCCCCTTCTCTCCAAGCATTCTGATTTGAGAAAGATGCCAGTGATAATCAACATCCTATGGTCAAAACAGAACTTGCACTTGAATGCAGACACTAAGGACAACCACTGAAGAGCCTGCAGTTCATCAATGCAGCCAAGGAATTGCTACCTAGTCCTATCTGGGTTTGAGAATAGGGAGGTGGGTAAAGAACAGACTGGAAACCTGTCTGAGGCACTTGATGAAGAAAGAGGGGCAGAGAACAGTTACAAACTGCCACCCTGTGGAACAGGGCCTCAGCTTAGGGATCCCCTCCAGCGCAGCTGCTTGGAGTTGTCCAGGATGCATGCATGTGTGTGTGTGTGTGTGTGTGTGTGCGTGTGTGCGTGTGTGTGTGTGTTGTGTGTGTGTGTGTGTGTGTGTGTGTGTGTGTGGTGATCAGCCTTGCTGGTCCTCTGGGCCTCCTCCCTTTGCTTGCCCTTAAAAGCAAGGCTTGCTTTCCAAGCCTGTGCCCCACAGCTCTCCTGGCAGGCGTGCAGAGGCAGAGGGTGCACAGGCAAGCACAACTGGCAAGTGAGCCACCCTGCTCCTCGAGGTCTTAGCACCCGTGTCTGGCCTCCCCTGTGAATCCTCCAGGGCAAGGCTTCCACACCGCATGGGTGGGCTGAGCTGAGCTGGTCTGGGCTGGGCTGGCAGGAGTGGTACCTGAAGGGTTTGCTGTCAGGGTCGGTGTCCTTGAAGCCCATCTCCTCCAGCTTACAGCGGCGATACAGCTCATAGTGCCGGGTGTGGGTCTGCTCCCGCAGATCCTCCATGTTGACCCGAATCAGCATCTCACGCAGCTTCACAAAGTCGCAGTGGGCCTCGTTTTCAACTGCATAGCGGGGTTTGGGGTATTGAAAGTATGTTGAAAGGAAGGCCAGCAGAAGCAGAAATGGATGAAACGAGAGGCAAAATGTCTAACAGTGGTGTTGCCTTGCAAGCTGTGTATTTAGATCCTGTGAATTTATTCCTCTCTTTTCTACTGAAAATGCAAATGAAAGGTTACAAAAATGGCAGTAATAAAAAACTGTGATATCATAAAAATACTTATTAACACAGTCAGTAGCACCACAATCCAAATTCGGCAGTCAGAACCCTCAAAAGAATGTTTGGTCTGCACCACTTATAGGACATCAGCACATATGCATCTATCCATCCACCCATTCGTCCATCCATCTATCCATTCATCATCTATCCATCCACCCATCCATCAGTCCACCCATATGTCCATCCATCCATTCATCCATCCATCTATCCGTCCATCCATCTATCCAACCAACCATCCAATCAATATTTGTGGAATATCTGTTCCCAGTATGTGTGAGGCACAGGGAATTCAGAAATGAAGTCATGGAATCTTGCTCTTAGGAGCTTACATTTTAGAGGAAGAATAGATGCAAACAGACAAATACAATTCAATGCAAAATGACAAAAATGGAGGGAAAGCCAAGTTGCAATGAAAGCTCAGAAGAGGGGGGCCTAAGAGCTCCTGGGAAAGTGAAGACTTCACCGAAGAGAAAACCCCTAAGATGACTCTGGAAGGAAGAATAGGAATTTATCAGGCAGAGAAGGGAATGGTGCTTGTAAGGTGTCAATGAGGTCAGGCAAGGTTGTGTAACTAGTAAGTTGCAGAGTTAGGGTTCAAACCCAGGCAATGTAGGGGAGGCAAAGACTATAACCACGTGACAAAGCCTCCAAAGAATAAGGGGAAAGAATTAGGATATTGATAGATGACAGTGACAAGGAGGGGTGTGGACCACAGGCACGGCCCACCTGGATGTAGAAGCTTCCAAGGAGGTAGTTTCTTTACAGGGTAGATAATGGCCTGACAGTAGCAATGGTGACTAGGAGCAAGGGGACCCCACTTTCTGGCCTGTGTGAACAAGCCTCCTCCTCAAAAGGGTGCAAGCAAAGGTGTGCATTTTGGGCAGTGGTCAAGAATGACAGACGTGGACCAAGTCATAGCAAAATCGATTTCTGGATGGACCAAGTCATGAACAGCACTTTGGCAAGGTGGCTGGCTACAGGTGTGTCTTCACCATGTCGGATGGTGGTATTTGGCTTGACCAAGTAGGAAAAATGGTGTCTGAAGTGATGAACAGGCCAGATTTTTCAACATCTGGAAAATATTGGAACACCCCAGATTCTGTCTTACAGGGTCTGGAAGAGGGTAGTGGGGGCAGAGAGGGGGTCTGGGATGAGCAGTCAGCCGTGGTTGAAGCAGACTGCCTTGTGGTCATTAGAGTAATCTTTCCAAAGCCCAAATCAGCTCACATAATCCCTCTGCTTCAGACCCACTGCATTAGGAATAAAGGCCCCTGCTGTCATAGAACACAGGCTAATATTAAAGACAACATCAGTAAGACAACATCTCAGGGCTATGCTAGATGCCATCTCCTCCTCCGTCTCTGGACGGTGATCTCTGGTGGTCAGTCAGAAGGAGCGACTCCAAGGCCCCTGTAGGCTGCCTAAGCAATAGTCAACTTCTTCCTCATTGAAGCAGAACAGTCAACTCAGACTTACAAGAAAACCTTTCAAAATCCCCTTTTTTGGTTAGGTTCAGGGTAGTCCACGTCAGATGAAGTCAGTCACTGGAACCATGTCTACTGGCTTCTCCTCATCTCACTTCAGGTTCCTGTTTCTCAGACCCCAAATCCATTCTCAGGGTGGGCCTGTGGGTCCAGAAACCATTCGCAAACATTCCTAGGGGAGCACCCCCGGCTCCGAATGGCAGAGACCAGATGTAACATAGCTCTGACAACCAGGCTTGGCCTACCTATGGGAATCCAGCTGTTGCCAGTGGGTCTGTGGGTGGTCCTAAAACACGCCAGCCTTCATATGTCATGTGGACAACTCGCCGCCCACTTTCAGGTGTTTCCTTAATGGTAGGGATGAGTTTACAGAGAACCAGCCACTCTTTCACACGATGCCCCTATAGGCCACAGTCCAGTTTCTAGCTGGAGACTCTGACGACCAGAGACCTCTTCTGCCTACAGCACTGTCCTAGGCCTTGTCTTACCCATTAAACCGACTAGCCCCGAGGGTAAGTTAACATACGTCAGGCAGATCCCAGAAGGAACTTCCCTGCGTGTAATACAATATAAATGATTGCTTTTCAATTGTGAAATAATCATACATACAAAAGAGAACATGAAATGTATATGTGCAATTTAACAAATTTTTGAAAAAGTAACACCAATGTGTCAACAACTCAGGTTAAACATTACCAGTACCTTGGAAGCCCCTGAGTGCCCCTTCCCAATCTCTTGCCTCTCTATTCCCTCACTCCCCTGGCAATGAGACTTAACCCCTCTCTTGACTTTGGGGATATCATTCCTTTCTTTTTCTTAATAGTTTCACCTCTTATGTATACATTCCTAAAAATATATATATCTTGTTTAGTTTTGCCTCCTTTTGGAATACATACAAAGGGAATCCAACGGTATGTATTTTTTTCTTTCTTACTTTTTTTTTTTTGAGTCTTGCTTTGTCACCCAGGCTGGAGTGCAGTGGTACAATCTTAGCTCACTGCAACCTCCACCTCCCAGGTTCAAGTGATTCTCCTGCCTCAGCCTCCTGAGTAGCTGAGACTACAGGCACATGCCACCACGCCTGGCTAATTTTTTTTGTATGTTTAGTAGAGATGGGGGTTTCACCATGTTGGCCAGGCTGGTCTTGAACTCCTGACCTCAGGTGCTCCTCCTGCCTTGGCCTCTCAAAGTGCTGGGATTATAGGCAAGAGCCACTGCACCTGGTCCAACAGTTTGTATTTTTTTATGATTTATTTAGCTCAATACTATGTTTCTGAGATATATTCATGGAGATATAACTATAGTTAATTCATTTTTGTTGTTATATAATACCCCATTATATGAATATTCTGCAGTATTTTTTAAATATTTAGGTATTTAAACTTTATGTTAAAGATTATAATTTTAGCCGGGCGCAATGGCTCAAGCCTGTAATCCAGCACTTTGGGAGGCCGAAGCGGCTGGGTGGATCATGAGGTCATGAGATCGAGACCCATCCTGGTCAACATGGTGAAACCACCGTCTCTACTAAAAATACAAAAATGAGCTGGACATGGTGGCGCGTGCCTGTAGTCCCCAGCTACTCAGGTAGGCTGAGGGCAGGAGAATTTGCCTGATACATCAGGAGGCGGAGGTGTGCGAGTGAGCCGAGGAATCGCCCATTATTGCACTCCAGCCTGTGGTAACAAGAGCGAAACTCCGCTCTCAAAAAAAAAAAAAAAATTACAATTTTAAAAATAATTATAATTGTTTAAAATGTTATTTTAATTTTTTTAAATTTCAATATCTTTTTTGAGTATTTTTGGTTCTGGGTACATGGATAAACTGTTCTTTATAGTGGTGTGACTTGTGGTGCACCCATCATATACTTGTGCATTATACCCAATCTGTATTATTTCTTTTTTTTGAGACAGTCTCACTCTGTCGCCCAGGCTTGGAGTACAGTGATGCAATCTCGGCTCACTGCAATCTCTGCCTCCTGGGGTTCAAGCGATTCTCCTGCCTCAGCCTCCTGAGTAGCTGGGATTACAGGCATGACCCACCACGGCCAGCTAATTTTTATATTTTTAGTGGAGACAGGGTTTTTGCCATGTTGTCCAGGCTGGTCTTGAACTCCTGACCTCAGGTGATCTGCCTGCCCTCGGCCTCCCAAAGTACTAGGATTACAGGTGTGAGCCACCATGCCCAGCCCTAATATGAGTGTTTTTTCATTGTTTTTATCTTTTTTGAGATGGAGTTTCGCTCTTGTTGCCCCAGGCTGGAGTCAATAGCACAATCTCGGCTCACCGCAACCTCTGCCTCCTGGGTTAAGCACTTCTCTTGCCTTGGCCTCCTGAGTAGCTGGGATTACAGGAATGCACCACCACGCCCAGCTAATTTGTGTTTTTTAGTAGAGATGGGGGTTTCTCAATGTGCCCAGGCTGGTCTCGAACTCCTGACCTCAGGTGATTCACCCGCCTCGGCCTCCCAATGTGCTGGGATTACAGGTGTGAGCCACCGTGCCCAGCCCCAACGTGTAGTTTTTTAAAAACCCTTATCCCCCTCCCACTCTCCCACTATTCAGTCTATTTGAATGGATATCTGGATTGTTTGTAATTATTTGTCATTATGAACGACGCTACTGTGAACCTTCTTGGGCAAGTACACATGCTTTCTGGTGCACTCCTTCCTACCTTGCAAGTCCTTGTGTTTTAGGAATACTTTTCCCATTAGAGACAGAAGGAGCTTGCTATCATCATAGATGTATCCTGATACAGAGCCAGAGTTAGTTTGCTAGTGATTCCCTATGGCTATCTGGGACCCCATGCCAAAGAGCAGAGACTTGAGACAATTTAGAAACTTGTCCATATAGTGGCTGGGGACAAGAGACAAAAGGGGCTTCCTGTGTGTTGCCCCTCTCCTGGAGACTCACTCACCCTGCACAGTGCCCCAAGGATACTGTCGCGACCTCATCATCTTGTTGCTATCTTCAGTTCTTCTGTGCTGCCGATGACAGCGAAAGGCAGGTGGGCCTGAAACGAAGGCAAACGAAAGCTGAGAACAGCAGAAGAAAGGCACTGAGCATTACACACACACCAACTGCTATTCATCGCTGGGGCCCCAGGCCCTCACCCTGCAATGTCCCCCACTATCATCATCACCAACACGCATTTATGAAGTTCCCAACTGTGTGAGGATAACGAGGCCTAGTCCAAGCTTCTGCTGTTCAGAAATTCACAACAGAGGGTGACAATGACATGTTGAATGCATTGGGAACAAAGAGAGAAAATAAGCAGAACAAACAGGCCGATACACAGATTACCAAGCTATTCGCGTCTTCACAGTTGGTGCTGACGGGAAGAGCCTTTGGAAGATCAGGGAGTGGAAGGAGGGGAAATTCTTTGTGGCCTCGATGGGGAAAGAAAAGAAAGAAAGGGAGAAAGGAAAAAGAAAACACAGCGAGTATATAAAG